CTATGTTATGTTGGTGTAATCCCTAGCCTTTTCTTCTAGTCTTTTATTCAGAACCCAAAGTAAGATCTTTGACGCTTGTGTAATTAGGTTGATGGTTCTGTATTCCTCACATGTAGTTGCATTCAGTTTCTTTGGCAAACATAGTATGAATGCCTTTGTGAATTCTGCTAGCCAGACACCTTCATGAATTTCCTTGCATATAACAACAAGCTCTGATGTTCTTTCTTCATTCAAGTTCTTACAAACCTCTGCTGATATACCATCCATACCTACAGCATTTATATTCTTTTAATGCTTTATTGCAGCCTCAATTTCGCTGTCTAATAGCCCTGGACCTTTACACTCATTATCTACCTTATTTTCACTCTCTGCTTACAAAATCTTCCTTCCGTGGTTTCCTTTCACCATCATATAACACTTCAATGCATTGTTTAAATCGATCCTTGATGACATCTTTGTCAGTTAAAAGAATTCCATCCTCATCCTTAAAAACATTTCCAATATTACTTCCCCTATTTTGTTATGTTTGCTGTCTTACTGTACAATACAATAGATATGATCTACCCTTTCTATCTAACTCTTCCAGATCTTCACAATTTTCTTTCCACCACTTTTCCGTTGCCTTATCTGTTCCCCGCCTCAATTCATTATTCATCTGTTTATACTTCCCTTTGCCTTACTTACTTGCTATATTTTTCCACTTTCTCCTTTCATCCATTTCCCTTATCATCTTTTCAGAGACCCATGGCGCTTTTGCTGTTATATCTTTCTTAAATATAAACACTGCCTCTTTCAGGGTATTCCAGTGGCATTTTTCACTTACCTTATTCTGAAAACGTTTAGCTCTTTTCTCCATGTTTTGGAAGTCCCATTTTATTTTTTTACCATCCAACTTTCTTCAAGATAACCACCTGTCTCATAACTACTAAGTTATGATCAGACTCAGCATCTGCTCCTGGAAAACTACACGCATTCTTTACACAGTTTTGTCGAAACAGGATATAGTCTGTTAGGAATCTACTAGTGTTTCCCGGATTATCCATATGTCTCTGCTCCTCTTTTCATGCTCAAAATTCAACAAGCCTTTCTCCTCTGTCATTTCTGGTACCATGTTCGAATGGTCATACTTCCGTTCCATCCTTCCTTCTCCAGTCTCCCATTATTGATTTATCATTTCCTCAATTAGATCATTCAGTTGCTCAACTTCTGTATCCTCATGCTCTTCTGCTGGCATATATAACCAGTATAATTACCAGATCTACAGCTTCAGCCTGCACTTTTACCAAGATCAATATTTCACTGTGCATTACGATCTTCGCTTTGATTTTTCTTTCTTTCTCTAACAGAATTGCTACTCCTTGATCTTGCACTGCTGCTGTGTTAATCCTCCTTGTTCCATAACTGGCGATACCTTTGCTCTCTTTCTTGCTCACTTCACCAAGCCCTAGAATAGTTAATCCATTTTTATTCGTCTCTCTTTTGATGTGTCCCAAGTTTCCTTTCCTTTGCCTTGTTCATACATTACATGCTCCAATTCTCATACGTTTTCCTTATGGCTTTTAGTCATGTGCAGAACGAACACTATTCCCTACTAAGTCTGTACTGTATCTATATAACTCCTTGAGATTCTTAACACCCCCCTTCTACACGGGACTGAGGGCCATTTCCTGAGATTCTACCCATATTTCTATTTATCCCATAGATTGGATGGGACAGGCGCTCCACTCTGGGTCGAAGTGGACCTGGGAGCAATAGTGGCTAAGAGGTGGTTCCATACTCCTCAGGACCAGAATTCCGCTACCGGATGCAGTTTATACTCATACCCAGGAGTAATATATATATATATATATATATATATATATATATATATATATATATATATATATATATATATATATATACATATATATATATATATATATATATATATATATATATATATATATATATATATATATATATATATATATATATATGTATATATATATATATATATATATATATATATATATATATATATATATATATATATATTTATATATATATATATATATATATATATATATATATATATATATATATATATATATATATATATATATGTATATGTATATATATATATATATATATATATATATATATATATATATATATATATATATATATATGTATATATATATATTCATATGTTCGTATGTAAGTATATATATATATATATATATATATATATATATATATATATATATATATATATATATATTTGTGTGTGTGTGTGTGTGTGTGTGTGTGTGTGTGTGTGTGTATGTATGTATGTATGTATGAATGTATGTATGTGTGTGAGTGTGTTTGTGTGTGTTTGTTTGTAAGCGTGTGATACTGAAAGATTAAATAAAACCATCGGTCATGGCAAATCTTTATTAGGTCAATATGGAGTTATAACAATCCTCATGAACGTACTATAGGTTATTCTTATTCATTTCAGCTAACATGTTTATGCCATCCAAAATATAAAGACATTGTGCAAAGTGAAGATAATAATTTACTGACAAAGCCTTACGGATACACAATAACACTGGTGCTAGGAATTTAAACAGATACTGAAAAGAATTTGAGTGAAATTCGTATGTTTATGTGTCTGTATGTGTACATTTTGGTCAGCAAAAGTGTGTGTGTGTGTGTGTGTGTGTGTGTGTGTGTGTGTGTGTGTGTGTGTGTGTGTGTGTGTGTGTGTATGTGTGTGTGTGTGTGTGTGTGTGTGTGTGTGTGTGTGTGTGTGTGTAAGTGTGTGTGTGTGTGTGTGTGTGTGTGTGTGTGTGTGTGTGTGTGTGTGTGTGTGTGTATGTGTGTTTAGCTAAAGATATACAGGATCGGAAAATCACTTAATCAAATCTTCCCGCATCCTTTCCCTATGCCAACGTACATATTAAGGTTTGTTTTAGTTGCGCCTTAAAAAAAGGTGCAGTCATTTTCTCAGATCATCATGGTGGTTTAGAAAATGGAAACTTTGTTAACATATAATACCACAGATACATGGACTAATAGATGCATACATACAGACAGACAATCAAACACACATACATATAGATAGGCATACATACATCCAGACATACAGACAAACAGACATAGAGACAGATAGAAATACATACATACATACATACATACATACATACATACATACATACATACATAGAGACAGACAGACAGCCATACATACATACATACATAGAGACAGACAGACATGCATACACACATACATACACATACATACATACATACATACAGACAGACAGAGAGACTTGCATACATACATTCAGACATACATACATACATAAAAGATAGACATATGAATAAAACATAGACATATGAATGAATAGAACTGTTATATTAATAACAAAAAATAGATGCATTAAACTGAGAAAGGAGAAGTATCAGACTTTGCAGTTAAGTGTTTTTCTTAATGTTGTTTTCAAGCTTTCGAAGTTAATTTGACAGTTCAAGTAAGTTTAGCAATAGGGGTGTTATGTGCTCTCGAGTACTTTGAAATTTAAATGAGTTAATTAGGGACCATAAATACAACAATTCGTTTTCAATTTCACGGTGTAAATAACCTGCAATCGAACACAATCGCAAGTTTCCAGACGTATCTTCTGGTTCTTTAGTCGCCGTGTTTTTCTTTTTTCATCATTTTCCCTTGTTTCCTTGTACCTGGAGAAGGATGATGATGTTAATAACTGTTCACGTATAGATAGATAGATAGATAGATAGTTATTCACAAATCTCAAACTGTTCAGTAAGCAAGGGGTCGAGAAGCTTGAGAGGAGGGGGGGGGGTATTGGCTAATTTACAGGGCGTCCGTTATGAAGATATGAAGATTAGGCTATGTCTATGTTAAATGCTGTATTACAAATAGATATACAAAGCTCGTATAGATTGCTGAATACCCCTTTTCCTTAGGCTTAAAATTATACCGAGGGTCATGGGTGGGGTCGTGAACGTATATAAAACCAGTTTACAGACATGAGAGGCATGAAAGCACTACATGAAACATAACATTAACCACTTTTTTAGAAAGAAAAAATGTAATGAAACCACCAGAACAAAATAACCTCTCTGGAAAAAAACATAAAACCACTCTAGGAAACATAATATAAAACCAACCAAGTAAAGAAAATATGAAAGAACACAAAACCACAAAAAGTTAAAGAAAACGGATACCAAACTATAAGAACAAAAAAGAAAAAAGAAAAAGGAAATGGACAGGAAGACCAACACGGGAAGAAGAAACCCACTTTTGTGCCGAGAGCGTCATAGAGGCGCCTGACGAACACCACATCCGACAACGTGGGCGAGGAAGGGCGGTCTTCGTCCGACTTGACCACGTAACGACCGCTGATGAACAGGCACGAGTTGAAGAGCAAATAGCACAGGAATTCTATGATCTCCAGCAAGGCGAAGACGGTGATGCCCATGTAGAGGGAGAGGGCGCCGCCTAAGCTGCCCACGAGACCCCAGGGACTCTGCAGGTGGGAAAGGAAGGGTCATGGTCGAACCTCTGCTTCAGTCGTTCGCCTTGTCTGTTGCTTTTCTGTACTGAGGATGAAGCTTTATTAGTTTTTTTTCGTTAACAAAAGTCTAGAATAAGCGCAAACGGTCGGACGTTTTGGATTTTTATTTTGAGAGAGATAGAGACAGACGGAGAGAGAGACAGACAGACAAAGACAGAGGTAGACGGACAAGCAGGCACAAACTGACAGACAGAGACAGAGATAGACAGAGAGAGGGGAGGAGCGCGATTCAGACAACCAGATAGACAGACAAAGGGATTGAGAGATAGCTATTTTTTTTAAGAATATACTTTCCTCATAGACAGAAGTCTGCTTGACATCATCCACGTTTAGAGTATGGTAGAATATATCGACTTGAAGAAGATGATCGACGTTGTCCTTTTTAAAACTCTGTTTGACTTGGTCCTGCAAGTGTAAATGAAATCTGTCACGATATCTTTATATAAACAGATATAAATATTCCCAAACATATATAAAAGATTGATATCTATCTCTCACATTACACGCTCACATACTCTAGTAAAATATATAAATATAACCACTCTAGAAAAAAGCAGGTAACCACTCTTGGGACATGAATATGATAAATGACTGCATTTTCACATGTCTGCTATATATGTATATAAGTACATATATGTATGTATGCATGTCTGCTTACATATACACACACACACACACACACACACACACACACACACACACACACACACACACACACACACACACACACACACACACACACACACATCCATACACACACACACACACACATCCACACACACACACACACATACACACACACACACACACACACACACACACACACACACACACATATATATATATATATATGTGTATATATATATATATATATATATATATATATATATATATATATATATATATATATATATATATACATATATATGTATGTATGTAAGTATATGTGTGTGTATGTGTGTAAACAGATTGATGAATAGATAGATTCGAAAGCAGGATCCAAGATGAAGACGCCACTCACCTCAGAGGTAATCGGAGGCCAAAGCGCTGTCGAAATGGTGCTCGGATACTGAGTCTCCCTGCACGCACGAAAGCAAGCAATCGTTATGCAAGATACCCCATTCAAAGCCAGTAGGAATCTAAATGACTTTTTTTTATATCAATAAGTTATTTTCAGTCGATTTATTTGTTTTGTATGTATCCTGCAACATGCCAACTTGTGTATATGAAAATGGTATTACAACTCACTCGCATGCACCATTACATCCACAGCTGGTCGAATTTTTGCTGT